TATAGCTACATATTTCTTGAAACTTAAAAATGCTACATGCTTTAAAAATATATCAAATGTATCAAATAAAATTCTTCAAATTCGCTGATACCTTTTAATTGGTTTACGCTGCACCATCTAGCAACGGCTAATCGAACCAATGCAGGGACCGTTTTTTTCGCCTGACCTAAATATTAAAACATCGATTCACTAAACAAAAAGCATGGTACATTGTATTTTTCAATATATAGCTGAACGCAAAATCGCAGTATGGTTACAAGGAATATATAGTGTATGTATGTGCGTGTGTGCAATACTTATAGAAATGCGAAGTCAATATTTGGAGATAACTAACTAAACCAATGTGCATAATTTCTCTCGATCATTCTGAATGTTTTTTATCTTGTGCTAAAATCTGACCATAATTTTCGCTGTTATTATTACGTAAGTCATTGCGTTTGTCTGAGGAGTCGCATTCGATCAACTGAACGAGAAAATACATGTTTGTTTCAACTCGAGCAACTACTAGCTGGATGGTTTCAAGGAGGGTGAAAAATAAATCTTAAAAACTTACTCCTAATACATGTGCCGTATTATATCTGTTATATTTGGAGAAAAATCTTCATTCTGATAAAATAGGAATTCAATTTCGCTGTCTACATTTATCTGACGTGTAGGCAATTTATATTTCCTTTGTCAGTCAGTTGTTGTTTGTCAGTGCACTTCAAAGCTTTGATATATAATCTTAATATGTTTATGATAGAAATCGCATTTGATACTGTTTATGATAATGAATCTTTATAAATTCCTGAATATTAATTTCACGGCTAATCCTAATATATGCTAAACAAGAAAGAAAATATGTCCGATGGTATATGATGTCATAATGACAAATGGAAAATCCGAGGTTAGGAATTGCAAGTAGTGGCCACATCACTGGGATGAGAAAAAGTAATTTCTTTTCCAGTGAAGTAACCAGGGAGCCGGATATCACCTGGTCGATGTGTACAGGGGAATAAGGTTGGACGGAGGAGGGTACCCTGAACGACCGCCCTCGTTCCGAATGCCCCTTCACCAAGGCAGCTAAAATTCATATAAAGACCTAACGCTCCCACTAACAAGACGCAAAACGACTGCATGCAGATGAGATCCATCACGGAACGTTGTCAAATAGATATTGAAAAAACGCCATTGCCAACATCGCCTCCAGTATTTGGGGAGCGTATGGGAAGTTCATTGTTGGATGAGAAATAATAGGTGTAAATGTCATTATCCTTTTGATAAAGACATGTTTATACTTCAGACTTTATGTTCTGATTATCTATCCTTATTTACTTTTTATGAGACGACGAGTAGTGGCCACGTGACCAATAATAAGTGGGTGGATTTTCATTCATGGTGTTGGTGACCTCGCCGAAAAAAAGAGAGAGATTCAGTTTAGACAAATATTTTGAAAATATTAAAGAAACATTTCTCCCTTCAGCACGTTGTTATTCATTGGCCCTTCCTAGAAACAACCATATTCGTGCAGGATAACTGCCCAATACACACATCAAGGGCAGTTATAAAGTGGGTTCGGCGACCAAAACCACATGGAAGTCTTTCCTTGGTCAAGCAAGATATTTGGCTCAGACCCGATGAAAAAGGGGCAATATGTAGTATAAAGTACTGGTAGAGTTGGGAAATAGGACCTACGTGAAATGATAGAACAATACAAATCAAGACAAAGTTCTATTTTGGAACCACCCAGCTAGTTCTTCCTCAAGGATAAAACATCTGTATATTCATTGTAACCGTACTGCGTTTATGAAGAATATGTTGCATATTTTCTGTTAATTAGTGTTTGGTGAAGAAAAGAAGAAAAGCCTTCATTATCTCGATCAACATTGATTACAAAGGCATCAACGATTTTTGCAATGATTTTTATTTGATTTAGCTGCCATACATAGACGTTTAAAGAATGAGGCGTTTTCATGTTTCAAGAAATATGCAGCTGTAATTGAAAATTATTGTGTTGAAAGAAGGGGGACATACTGCCTCACCTTCATAGCTGTAGCCATGTCAATAAACAAACAATTCCAGGAAATTTAAAAGATATCCCACAACAAAGTCCTAATACTACATGTTTTGTTATCACGTGTTTGAAAAAGGAAGGTTGAAATGGCTTACGTAGTTTCAAAAAACAGATATACACTTGTTGGTCATTTATGTTCTGCACTCCTTGATACAAACAACCTAGGGTTTTCGCCTCATTCATAAAAATACTATTTACTCTATGTTTACATCGATGTTATTACGAAGTGTACACAAGTGGGACCCAGCAAATGTAGTGAAATATAATTCCGCAACTGTACACTTGCTAAAAAAAGTAACGTTACTCTTTCTGACTTAACAGCATGCCTCTAAAATAATTCATTTTTCTACATTTTGCTCCATTAGCTAGGCTTCATTTAAAAATTCAGGGTTTTAAAATACACAATACTATTAACACTCGTGTTATCGCCACCAGCTTGGCGACCACTGACAAGAATAAGTGTCATGAATGCTCCTAACGCCGCCGTTATTCCGTCTATAGATAGCAATCGCTCCTATGCCGTAATTGCTTGGGTAACGGCGATATGACGATTGTGGGTATGATCTTGGGGAAAGTCTATGCTTATGGCTGCCCAAACATTCTCAAAGAGTCTGAGATCTGGCGATTTGGGTGGCCCGTAAATCTGCCGGGCCCGACATTCGTCGGTTTCCCGACTCCGCTGCTGCCTATCCACTCCAACTGTCCAACGATTTCTGATGTAGTGAATCTCCAGCCAAGGGATGGAGGAACCTGGGGAGAATTCACCAGTTTCCCCTCTTTAACCAAATGCCGTCCATGCTATCCCGGAAGCTAGGAAGGGGAGAGAGAATCTTTTAGCCGTGAGGCGCTGGTCTATGGTCGCAAGACTAACAAGCTAAGACGCGGTAAGATTGCATCTTTTTACTTTTTCTTAATCTTTTAATGAGGCGATGTTCTCTTCTCTTTGCGGCTGTTTTGTGATTTTTTTGTGCATTTTAGGATAGCCGCATTTTTACTTGCGTTCACTTTTAATGTTTTTTGTGTTTAGTGTTTCATAACTTTTTAATGGTATGAGCCAATTTTATTTGTTTTCACCTTTTAGTACTCCTATGTATTTTGGATACTGGAGGATGGAAATTTTCTCAAATTCTAATAAATTTCTGTATTTTTTTCTTTTCACTAGTTTTACCGTTTTAACAAACTTTTGTAATGATTTGATTTATGTATCCACTCGTGTTCCAAGGATTGATTTAAGAATTAAAGTAAATTGATGGTCAACTTCAATACCATAAGCCTGCACCTTCTATCGGCTTTAGGCGACACGCACTCCATCTCGGGTATAACTTTGGTAACTTCTTTACACTTACACTTGCTTTTCTCTAACTTTACTTACACCCTTCTACATGCCTCTTACTTTACGAGCATTAACTTACGTTCCTGGACGAATTAACTAGGTGGTGGCAGCTAAAAAATTCGTACCAAGGATCGACGTTTAATCTTATAGATCACGACACTGACAGTCTGCGTACTGTGGCCAACAAAACAAAAGTAGTTCGCATCCCTTGTAGTAGTTATGGATTGTTATACACATATAATAATGAGAGTAAATAACCAAGAATAACTCACAGTAAGGAGACATGGCAACTAGCTACCTACCACGCCCCTTTTCGAACCCAGTAAGGGGTGCTGACACTTAGTTTTAAATGGTTTGTCATTAACTCATGATATTCATGCACTTCAATGCAATGCACTTCAACTTGATCATCTTCCTCTGTTGTACATCTAGGGTGTCCACTTTTGGCCTTGTCATTGTTGGACCCAGTTGCTTGGTGTCGCTGGATCCACAAACGACACGGTTGGCTTCGAAATAACTAATCTCGATGTTCTGGAACTTGATAGTCTCTCAGAGTATAGCGTAATTATGACGCTACAAATGGTCTAAGAGATCTCCATTGTTAACATTGGGATGATACGAGGAACTTGCCATATCAACTCCAAACACTATTCGAACACACTATGAAGCTTCATTTGTTCCGAGCTTTGAAAACAAGAAGTACCAACATATACGAATCAACTCCTCGTTTCAGTTACATCTACTCTCGAGTAAGGATACTTTTTTTGTAAACACACACACATAATAAATTTATATATATATATATATATATATATATATATATATATATATATATATATATATATACATACACACATTTGTAGACACAAACACATACACACAAAACAAGTTTACTATCGGAACCTAGATGTGGAGACAGACATCATTAGCCTTGCAGCCAAAAGGAATACCGAGAGATTATGTAGAAATAGTATATACAAATATAGATGATTTATGTTCGAAGTTACTAGAAGTAAATGCAATTAATGAAAATAATAAACCAGATGTAATATGCATCACTGAATCCAAACTGGATCCCTCCGTTGGCGATATAACATATGACTGAGAGATTACAATATTTGGAGAAAAGATAGGTCAAGTGTAAATGAAGGGGGGTGTGGTAGCAATATTAACAAGGAAAGGTATCATAAAGGAGATAGGATATATTATAGCGGAACTAATGGCAAATGATATGGAAACAAACGGAGGGAGTATAATAATAACTACAGTGTACATGCCACCTCAGACATCGGTGTGGTCACAAGAAAATTACCAAAAACTTATTAAAGAAACGTTAAAGAGCTTGGAAGAAGTGCTACAACTTCCGGAAATTAACGCAAAAAGAAATATTGGTAACAAAAATTGACTGGGAAAGTTTCGATCCCAGAGCTCAGCCTGATTCGTGGAATGCAAGATTACTGGAAGTCATAAATGAAATTTGTTTCTTCCAGAATGTAACAGATCATACCAGGATAAGAGGGCTAGATAGACCGTCTATGCTTGACCTAATATTTACAAAGCATAAAGATGACATTAAGCATATGGAATACTGCCCTCCTCTAGGAAAAAGTGATCATGTAGTAATTAAGTTGAAATACAGTCTGCTACAGAATAAATAAATACCGTAAAGAAAGAAAAGGAAAGCACAATTACAAGAGAGGTAATTATAGAAGCCTTAAAGATTTCTTTGATGGCATAAACTGGGAAACATTCTCGAACGAAGAGAACCTTAATATGCAATATTCTAAACTTTGCAAAGTCTATATACAAGGAGTAGAAAAAAATGTATCAAGATTCAAAACTGAAGCAAGAAATGGCCAAAAGTGTTTCAATGATAAATGCAAGAAAATGAGAGAAAACAAACAACTCATTTGGAGAAGGTTCAGAAGACAGATCTCAAGCAGCGTATGAAAGGTATAAAGTAAGAAGAAATGAGTAAACACAAACTAACCAATGCTCTTCTTTAACTACATAAATAGCAAGACTAAAAGTAGAGATCAAATTAGCGCCATCAAAGACAATAGCATCGGTTATACTGTGGAAGAGGAAATGTGTGAAATCCTTAATGAGAAATTTCAGTCAGTTTGTTCAGGACCCATACTTTTAAATGGCTAGTAACCGTACAAACGTAAATCAGAATATCGGAAATATCACACTCGAAAAGACCCACTGAAAGGGTTAGACAAAACTAAAGCAAAGGGACCAGATAAGATATCCAACTGGGTTCTGAGGGAATGTCCCAAAGAACTCTGTATTGCATTATTGTTAATATTCCATAATTCGATGAGACAAAGAAAACTACCAAAAGATTGTAAACTTACAAGTGTTACAGTTTTATACAAGAACGGCGACAAAAAAAAAAAAAAAAAAAAAAAAAAATCCTCTAAATTATAGACCAGTTTCGTTAACTAGTGTAGTATGCAAGCTGTTAGAAAGGATAACTAGAAAACAGTGGGTTGAAGTACTTGAAAAACACGATGTGATATCAAATAAGCAATTTGGTGTTAGGAAGGAAGGTCATGCGTAACAAATCTCTTTTTCTATAATAGATTTTCTGAAATACTGCAAGGCTGGATGGATTGTATATTCAGACTTGTAACTGATTATGTTTACTATTGTCATAAATTATATAGGGTCAAACATAAGCCCAGTTAGTAATATGAATATGTCTGCAGACGACGCGAAATTGCATAAAAGGATAACAGACGATGTCTTATGCCAATGCTTCCTAAGTGACATCGAGAACTCATTCATTAGTAGAGAAAGCATGTAATATATATATATATATATATATATATATATATATATATATATATATATATATATATATTCAATATTTACTGACTATTGATGCGTTTTGCTTGTATATGGAAAATGGAATTTGACACCAATAAATGCCATGTGGTTAGGTTAGGAGAAAGTCAAAATCGTCCACTATACTAATAGAAGTTAGGAGACGTAATATTAAATCAAGCAGATAAAGAAAAAGACTTTAGAGTAATCATAAGCCCAAATGATCATATAAATGACAAGGTTCATAAAATGCTAGGGATGATAGCCAACATGAAGAGGGCATTCGGGTAAGTGGACGAAGACATGGTAAAGAAGGTCATTACAGCCATCATAAGACAGTCTTGAGTATGGTGTAGTGGTATGGAGTCCGCACTTAAAAAGGGTATAGATAAAATAGAGAGTTCAAAGAGCAGCCACAAGAGTTAAGAGTTACGAAGAAAGACTACAGAAAATAGGTCTTACTACTTTGGAAGAAAGAAGAAAAAGGTGTGACATAATAATGATGTTCAAATATATTATAGGAATGGGGAAGTTAAACAAAGGTGACTTCATAATTTTGAACACAAGAAGGACGAAAAGACACAGCAAAAAGTTGAAAGTAGAGAGAGATAAGTGCAGTTCCCCAAGCAGAACTATTGAAACACGGAATTTAAAAAGTTATATGATAATTTAAATATATCAGACAGGACCATCTGAGCTTAGCTCTTCTCTCGAATTGAAACAGCTAGGTAAGAATACACACACACACACACACACACACACACACACACACACACACACACACACACACACACACACACACACACACACACACACACACACACACACACACACACACACACATGCATATACAAATAATAATGCACAAAACAGCCATTCTAAAAAAAAAAAGAAAAAAAAAGGCGAAATTACTGAGGACCATTTTCTTTTTCTAAAAATGCCGGTTTTATTCTATTGTT